ACTTTGCAAGTTTGTTGACTTAGCTCCAGAAGGCCAGACCGTGCTGTCTGCAGTGCACCAACAGCTCAGTTCACAGAACAGCTTAATGCCACTTCCCGGTCTCTGCAGCTCAGAACACCCTTCCCCACAGCAGCTCATGCCTGCAACTCTTTCCTTCCCTTTTGTGACTCATTTTTCCAGGAGAATCTCTGAGAAATCAGTATTAAGTACACTACTGCTGCAATTTCACAGTTTCCTCTTTCAGTGGTGTGTTAAAGATTTATCAGGTTTTTTTTTTCCTCACTATCAAAAGCATTAAAACATGAGTTGTACCCAGAGCTGCAGCAGGGAGCTTCCCCCTTGCACAGCCAATTCCCAAATCCTCAGTTATCCCTGCCCCAGGAGCCCTTCCATGTCCAGCTGCTGCCAGTGCAGGGAAGGGTGCCCCAGGGGAGAGCTGTCAGCACAGAGGAGCAGCTGCTCTGAGCCAGCCCTGGGTGAGGCAGGCTTGGGATGCAATCACCTGCAGAGCCACCAAAGGGAAAACCACAACCACTGACTCATTTCTCCTCATTTTCCCCATATTCCCAAGGCATTAAAGAGTGGGTTTCATCCTTTACCACGTTTGAAATCTGTGCTTTTCTGGCCCTGTGCTTCCAGAGGGACACTCAGTGAAGCAGCAGTGACACTCTGACCAGCACAGGTTTTCACACAGAAGGAGAACAGCAATAACTGGGTTTGACAATTAGACTTGTTGACTCCACTTCTATTGCAGGCTATTTTTTTTTTTTCCCTGAAAAAAACCCGTGCTGGTTTATGCTGAAGACAGTTGATCTTTAACAAGACAGCAAAGGATTGATACAGCAGAATTTTGCAGAGCCTGAAATAGCTGCCAAATTCAAGAGGCTGTTGGGAAATGAAAACCAACAAACATAGTCCTCTAAAGAGAACCTGGTTTTGTTAAACAAGGTCACACTGTCTTTTTGTTGTTTTTTTCCTTCCTATTCATTTTTTTCTTACATGTACCTACATCTGCAGATATCTCCAACTGGAGACCAAATACCAGTTTTTCCATGTTCCCCTTTGGAATTTTACAGTATTTCTTCTGCAGGAGCAATTAGTATTTGCTGTTGTTTTAAAGGAAAAACCCCACAGAAATAAAGGAAAAGTATGACTCACTGAGAGACCAATAATTAGGTCATGTGTTCAATTAGTTTTCATGCTTAAGTAGTTACTCTTTAGGAAATGCTCCCCCTTTGATGTGCAGCAGCAACTTCCCAATTAATTAGGCAGAAAAAAGCAATGAAGGAATGAAACCTCAGACACCGAATCAAAGCCCAGCGATCTCTAATGAGGGGAACAACAGCATCAACAACAGACAACATGCACTAAAAGGTAGAGGCTTTCAATGATCCATTTCAATGTCTTGGCTGTACTTCCTTTGAAATCAAGAGAAAACTGTTGGGAAGCAGACTAGAAGAGAGGGAGAAGCAGCCTGTTTGATCAGAAAATCACTGTTTCCTTGAAGGCCTGCCACAAAAGAGATAATTTATCCAGATTGCGGGAGATGTTTCCTCCGAGACCATCACTGGTGCAGGCAGGAGGCACCACACATCAGGTGAGATGGGATCAGAGAGAAATGGGAAACCTCCTCTTTCCTTTTCTTTTTCCACTGGAACAGAAGCAGAACTGCCCATGCCACCCCCAACCTCCAGCTGCAGGCACTCCCAGACACCACAACTTGCTTTCAAGCCACCCTTCCCAAAGGCTTCCTACAAGTTTATTTAATCTTGTCTTCTAGATTTCCCCAGTCCCCATCCAGGATTTTCATCCCCCTTCGTGGCTCACAGCTCTCCTTCACCCCAGGGATGCCCGTTCAGGTATAATCCACTCAGCTCTAATGAAATCAGCTCGTTCCAGCAGAGAATTAAAACAGCCCAAATGACTCTCTTAGCAAAAAAGAAGGAAACTGAGAGAAGAAAAAGGGAGGCAAAATTGTAGCACTTGAATTAAAAAATCAATACTGTAATTGACTTTGTTTTACATAGGTGGGCGTAAGGGGGAGGATTCTTTGGGATGAGCTGTTTCAGACCCTTGGCCTCGCTGCTGCTGGTTGTTGCAGAGGTGCAGGAGCCCTGGAAGGGCAGGAGGGGAGTGCTGATGGCAAATCTCTGCCCTCACACTCCGTGCAGCTGCTTCTCAGAGGATACTCCATGGAAGAACTGCCCTGCAGCTGGAAGGGCTCTGCACAAAAGATCCCAGTGGAACAGTTCAGCAGGAGCTGGAGCCACAGAGGAGCTGTGTCTGCATCCTTCTCACCTCTGCTAGCAATGGTTATGAAGTGCAGATTTTGGCTTTCCAGGCAGGGCTGGGAAAGCTCATCAGAGAATAAAGGACAGGACTGCAAACAGCAGCTGGTGCAGGAGTGCCATTGGGGTCTGTGCACCAATGAAATCCCAACAGAAGCATCAGAATGACTGAGTGAAGGAGGAACAGCTCCTGTGAGTGTTCTGGTCAGTTCAGAGCTAAAGGGAGAACCTGGTCAAAAGCCAGAGCAAACGAAGAGGGAAAAAAAAAAATCTATCATTTCATGTAAATTTAATAAGCATATGCTCCAGACTACCTCATACCAGGTCCTGAATTATGGAAACTGTGCCTCATCCAACCCCACGGCACATCCACAGGGATGGAGGCACAGGGCCCTGGGCTACCCAGGGAGGGCTGGCAGCCAGGGAAGGAGAAGCAGGGGAATAAAGCCTGGCACCCTCCTGAGAGGGCAGCAGCCATCCCATTGTGAGCTCATGGCACAGGCTGTGTGCAGGGATCAGCACACAGCACTGCCAGCTCCAGAACTCAGAGCCCAGACTGCACAACCCCTTCATCCTCCTCAGGCAGCTCTGCAGGGCTGCAGCTCCACTGCCAAACTGGGACTTGCAGAGCAGTAACTGCTGCTCATAAACCTCCCTGAGCTCCTGCATCCCCAGAAACCATCCCACTGCAGCAGGCTCGCTGCTCACAGCCCTCCACTCCTGTCTTCAAAGGCTCTTGACTCTTCAGTCCCTGCCTTTGCATTGCCACAACCTGCAGTGCTGCCAAAAAACTGAATTTACACCCCAACCACAAGGAAATATTTGCTGCTCCCTGCCAGCACAGCAGAGCCGTGCTCTGCCTGGGCACCTGCCCCAGGGCTGCACCTCACACAGGCAGGGTTCTGCAGGGGGTCACCAGCACAGAAATCCCACTGCAACCCATTCCTTATCCAAATGTTTTAAATACAGAGCTGCACCTCACACAGGCAGGGTTCTGCAGGGGGTCAGCAGCACAGAAATCCCATTGCAGTGTAGCCCATTCCTTATCCAAATGTTTTAAATACAGAGCAACCTCCCACAGAGACTCAGTTATTTTATTCTGGGCAGTTCTGTCTCAGCCAAAGGTTCCTTTCCCGGTGTTCCCCGTGGATCCAGGCCCTGCCAGCAGCCAGCTCCAGTTCCACCCAGCTCCTCCAGCCATTCCCAACCGCTGCCTGCAGATTCCCAGACCAAGGAGCAGTCCCAGGGAAGGTTTTCCCCTCCAGTCAGGCATTCCCTGGTCCTGTGCTCTTCACTTTCACTCCCTTTTCTCCTTCCATTCTCAGCTGCTTAAGCAGCCCCTTTGATCCCTGTAATTGAGCCTCTTTCCAGATTACCCTCAGGTTTAACCCCTTCCCCTCCCAGTAAAACTCAAGCCCCAAACCCAAGGAGTGTTAGTGTAGAGCTGCCTTGCACTTTTTCACCAGCAGCTCAGTTGTATCTGCACTGAACTGCAGAACTCTTTACTTGTTCAGAGAACTCTCTATCAAGGCAGATCGAGCCCACAGCTCTGTCATCTCCCATCCTCTCCCCCAGTACAATCCTCATTTGAGAACTGCATGAAATGACTGAATATTGCTAAACTGCAGGATTTTGCAGAGGAAACAACAGCTGAAGTGGTTTTTACTCCCGCAGCACACGAATTTATGTAGCTACGCTACAATAAAGCAAAGTCCTAAATTTAATCAGAACAAATACTTCAAGCAATGGCAAGCTGATAAATTATTTAGAGAGGGGCTCAATAAGACCTGGAAGGAAATATCCATCAGTTGTGCAGCCTGGGAGCTTCCAGAAACAAGGAATTTTCATGCTTCATCCCTTTTACCTTTCAGAAAAGCTGTTTGCATTGAGCAAGGAGGGAGATGTTTGAGCAGAAGCAGCCAAGGACTGGCTGGCAGCAGTGCCACAGCACTGGTCCCAGTGGTCACCACTGCCACCATCCCCTGGCAGCCATCAGCACCACTGAGAATCCACAATAAGGTGCTGAAGACAGCAGCTCCTGCTGGAAGGAACTGACAGCCTGGGAATATTTCAGGAGATTGTCATCATTTGCTCTTTTTTCCAGACTGCCTGGTTTTCCCCAAATTGTCTTCATTCCATCCACTCCTCAACCATTCCAAGCCCCCAAGAAACAGACAAAACTGGATGTATTAGTATTTATATGAAAGCTCTAGGAAATTCAATAATGTTCCTATTGTTTTATTGCAGATGGCACACCAACTTCTCTTTATTACTGCAGAAAGCTCCAGAGCCCTGTGGAGTGCAATAAACTAGGACGTGTTTGGCTTTGCAATGTGTCAGGGGCTGTGATTTCCTGCAGGAACCAGGGAACCAGCCCAGCTCTGGGATTGCCTCCACCAGGCCCACGCAGGGAACCTGCTGCTCCTGCCCTGCCCCTCCTCCCCCAGCACCAGGACTCACACAGAGAGCAGGAAAGGGCTTCTTTTCACCTTTGCTCCAAGATGCTTTTTCTCCTGTTTGATTTCAGGCACCTTTCGAATTTTCTGCTAAATTCTTGGGCTGCCGAGATTTAAAAATTGGCCACGTGCCACGAGGAAAAACACAGAAAGGAAATTCTCTTAACTGTACACGAATATCTGCCATGAATGCTCCAAGACATAAATACCCTCAGAGAAAAGGCCAGCAGGAGCCCCAGGAACAGCCAACACTCACCCTGGGCTGCCAGTTCTCATACTGCTTCTGCAGGTTGGCCCCGATGGTCTCCAGAGCTTTCTGAGGCCCCATGGACAGAGGATCTGGGAACAGAACACACACAGCAGCATTGCTCACCCCAGCTCCCTGCGGGTATTTTCATGCAGGTTCCTTTCATTATTAAACTCATGAACACCCAAAAATTACCCCGGATTCCTGAGCCCAACAAAATCCCAGCTCCGTTACAGACTGACAAATGTGGAAGATTTCTCTCACTGAGGTGCTAAAAACAATTTTGTTTTGAAAGACAGGAGAGGCATTGCATTTGTTTCTTTTAATAATGAAATAAGGTTTCCATTGTAAATAATGACAAGAACTCAAATTGGTTAAATATTTGATGACAAACATTTTCTGTTGATGAATGCAAAATCCTGCTTCATTTACTCCCTTTGCTTCCTGCTGCAGAGATTGTGTGCCATTTGTAATATTTAAGAAGTTAATTTTATTGCTAGATAATTACCACAATCCATACATAGCAATACAATTCCAGGCCACGTGCTTTATTCAAACACCATGGACATATAATTAAACAATTAACAAGTTTTCTTAAACCCCACAAGCTAATATTTTCCTATTTAATATCAATTATTTTAAAAGCACTAAACCAGATCAGTGAAGGGGGTTGTTTTCCCAGCTTTTGCAAATATACTTTTGCTAGAAACAAAATGTAATCAAGCAGGATGAAAGCAGGATTTTTGAGTTATTTTTCTTTAATGAATAAAAGCACGTGGAAGGTGCAGCAGGACCTGCACGTGGCTCTGCTCAGTGGCCATTTGTCACCTGGGGTGAGCAGCTGTGACCCCAGCTCAGGTGTGAACAGCAGCAGCTGCACCCCAGAGAGTTCCCCAGACCCTGCAGATGTGGCACAGCCATTCCTGCACCCACTCCCTGCTCCTGGGACTGAAGGCAGGAAAAAGATCAGATATTTCCCCAGTTGCCTTTTCCAGAAATTTCAAGTTGGCTGCAAATGGAAGGAGCACTTGTGTACATAAACAGACTGAAAATTTAATTACAAAAGTGCATTCAAAATTCTCTGCTAATGATAGGCACTGATGACTTTATTTAAGTGACTCTGCAATGCTCCTGTGTGTCAATGAGACATCAGGGCTGCTCTCAGGTACCTGCCTGCGCCTGCTCTGGGCTCTCATCAGCGTTTCCAGGTTAAAAACCTGAGGTGCTGTGCTTCACAAAGCAGGCAAGGCAAGGTTAGAAAATCTGCTGGAAGTTTTTTAAGAAATTCTGTTTGTGCAGTGATTGATTTGCTCCTGGGGCCTGTCAAAGCCCCGAGCTGAGGATTCCAGTGCCCAGCGTGGGACGTGCTGGAGGCTGAACATTCCCAATTCCCAGATAAAAACCAAATCTCTCTGAGAAAGCTTCTGTACACAAGATATTTGCTTCTAATATTCAGAATTGTCTCATCTTGATAATTAGACTTTTTTCTGCAAAACCAAAGCAACTTTTAATTTCTTCACAAAAATAAACTAGGAATTTAGTGCAATGCTGCATGAAAATGGCAAACCCAGGTGCTGGAACTGCACAAGACATCCTTAGGAATAATTCCAGGTCTTCTGAATGATTCCAATTAAAACAGCCCCGGAGCAGGCACCTCAAAACACAGCAAGGTGTTTCACAAACCTCACTGCTCAGCTGGCTGAGGCAGAGAAGGGAGGTTGGAAGTTTTGCAGATCCCAGCACTCTGAAGGTGTCTCTGCCCAGAGATTTCCTTTAGATATTTATAAATCTAAAATAATTACAAGAAAGCAAAGCAGCTCATTAACAGCTGTTTTCCTCCACGGTTTCTCATTTCAGAACACAGCAGGAGAGATGACCCATGGCAGCAGCTGGAGCTGGACTCTTCATTAACCCAGAGAAAAATCAGATCCCAGTTTCCCTCCTGCTCAGCCCAGTTTGAAGCCCTGGGAATGCACAGCTTTGGGATGAGCTCTGTGCTGTGAGACTGGGGGCACTCACCAATCCAGCACTCCAGGCGGGCACAGGGAGTCGTTTTCACCACGTCTGGGGGGTCCACGCCGACGTTGAGGCACAAAACTAAGGCAACACTTACAGTCTTCATCTGCAAAGACAGGCAAGAGCACAGCCCTGAGTGCAGGAGCCTTCAAACATCACCACTCCCAGAACCTCTGCAGGCCTTCAAACAACCTCTCCTACCTGCTCTTTCACATGGACTATTTTAAACGAGGCCTGACTGATGAAATTTTTCATATTTTTTATTAGAACAGTACTTAGACTCTATGTTACTATTTTTGTTATTATTTCCAGAGCCCATTCTTCTCTTTCTGAGCATGGAAATAGATACCAGTGAACTTCTGCTACTCATCCTAAATTAGCCATTGTCCAACTGCAACACATTATTAAAACATGAGGCAATGCTATTCAGGGCCCTGACCAATATTATAATGCAGTGTGTGATCTCTAATATTGAAACTAAAAGAATTAAAATGGAAGAACTCCCAAGTGACAAACAAAAGCATGAAAAAATTAAACAAACAGACACACACCAGAACAAAGATATTTAGTGCACTTTTTATTTTGTTTTCTTCACGTGTTGGTTTTTCTTGGAGAGCCCTGTAAGGAGAAATCCTGGCGTGGCTCCAGCTGCTGCTCCACGTGGGGTTATCCCACCCAGGCACCCCAAAACCTCCATTAAACCAATGACAAACCACCTTGGCCAGCTACAAGGACTGCTTGAAATCTAGCACTCCACATCTCCGTGGGTTTTGTTTCTAGACCCCCTCATGCCAACACCTAAACCAGAGGAGGGAAACAGGAGCAGTGCTGAGGCTCTCAGGGACTGCGGGCGTTCAGGGCTTGCCACATCCCCCTCCCCAGGGGCCTCCGTGCAATCCACAACAGAAGGGGAAAAAAAATCCCAAATTTCACACTTAGAGAAAAGCCTGGAGCCAGATAAATGTGTAATGTGTACAGAAAGCAGAGCAGGCAGACACCATTCACAGGCTGCACACCAGGACAGAGATCCTGCAGCGTTTCCTCACTCCTGTGGCCATGATGGGGAACATGGAATAAGAAACCAGCAAGAGCTGTGGTTTGTGGCTTCATCCCAAACTGTGCTCCTGCTAACAAACCCTGCAGTCCTGGAGGAGCTCCTCGTGCCAGGAATTACCCAGGACCAAGCAGCACTGTGCAGCACACAGATGGAAACAGGAGCCTGAGAGGAATTCCCTGCTCGGGATTTCACGGGATGGGGTGGAGAGGCCAGAGCTGCAGCTCAGCCCTCAGGACATGTGTCTTAGAGCAAAGGCAGGGACATGCACAGAGACACCAGAGTCACTGCTAGGACCAGGGACATGCACAGAGAAATCAGTCATTTTCAGGAGCAGGGACATGCACAGAGACATCAGAGTCACTGGCAGGAGCAGGGACTTGCACAGAGACATCAGAGTCACTGGCAGGAGCAGGGACTTGCACAGAGACACCAGAGTCACTGGCAGGAGCAGGGACATGCACAGAGACACCAGAGTCACTGCTAGGACCAGGGACATGCACAGAGACACCAGAGTCATTGGCAGGAGCAGGGCGAGGGGCAGCCCGGTCCTGCAGAGCCCTCTGTGCCCAGGAGCACCCAAAAGCAGCACCCCAAAGCAGCTGAGCCCTGCACAAGCCTGGGGACAGCTCCCCAGCCACCCCAGGCACTGGCAGCTCCTTGGGAAAGCCAGGCAGCTGCAGGCCATGCAAGGGCACAGATGCTGCCAGAACCATCCCACGCTGCCACACACACACTCAACACCCCAGGGAAACACAGAAAACCACACAAAAAATGACTTATTAGACGTGGAAACCCATAAATCATTCTTCCAAGAGAAAGTATCCTGCCAAGCAATCTTCTCCATCTCGTTTATTTATTGTTTCCCATTTGCAGTCTAATACTGACTTATTTTTCAGTATTTTGCTGGTAACATCTGATTGGTGGCTTATGCTGAACAGGCTGATATTTCTTTTCCAATCCCAGGTTCAGGGTTTTAAATAAGTGTTTCTCCTGGAAAACCTGACAGCAAACCCATGAGAGAAACAGGAATTGATCCCAGAGACAAATGGGGTGATTTTCCCTCTGCCACCTGCCCCAAAGGATGCAAAGCCTTGCACTCCACACCATTTGTTCTGCTAACAGGGAGCACATCCCAAGGTGCAGCTCATCCCTGTCCCCTCTGACCTCTCCTCACAGCAAGGATTTTTTTCTCAATATCCCTGTGTAAAGTCTCTCCCCATCCTCTCTGCAGCTCTTCCAGGCCCTGCAAGGCCACAGTGAGGTCACCCCAAAGCTTCTCCTCTCCAGGCTGAGCATTCCCAGCTCTCCCAGCAGAGCTGCTCCATCCCTCTGCTCATCCTGGAGCCTCCTCTCCCTGTGCTGCTCCCTGTGCAGGTGGGCTCTCAATGCCCCCTGCCCTGCTGCCCACGCTGCCTCAGCCCGGCTCAGGGGGGTTTGGGGGGACAATGCATGGGACTGATCCAAAAAACCCAAAATCCCCGAGCCCAAAAACCCCAATAATGCTTTAAACCCCAATAATGCTTTTCCCATTTCTAAACTCTTTTGGAACACACCAGAAACTTCACTGCATATTTAAAGGTTCTTAATACAAGCAGTACGAGGACATTCTCATCTGTCATTAAGACAGTGGAAATTTTCTTTTCCCCATTTCAGGAGCACATCCATCAGAATACATTTCCATGGATTTTTGTTAGAATTTAAGAATGAAGCAGAAGAACATTTGGCAAGTTTGTAAGAAAACCAATATCCAAAATGCTTTGTCAGCAGAGGCTCAAGATCAAAGCACAGCAGCTCTTACTGTGGGCTCTGCACTTTGGAGTGTCATTTGTATGTTAAAAAATGGGATACAACTCCCAAGCTTGTAGTGCACCCAATTTAAAGTGATTTAATAACTCTGGGTCAGAACCTGCAATACTTAAATGGCAAAATCCACTCGGTCAAAATGCTCTTGCTGAGAAGTGATGGCAGAGAATTCATCCCAAAGCTGTGGGAAATGGGACTCAGGGAGCACAGGGAGTTCTGAGTCTGCTCAGAAGAGAAGCTGCTTATTAAAGCATTTGACACTAAAATTTACATCTTATGCTAAAGACCTTTTAAAATATTCCTAATTCACCTCTTATTTCATTTAGAGGCCAAACAGATCTGCAGGTGAGTACAGTGCAATATCTACAGGTATTTTCAGCCAGGAAAAAACCATTATGTTCTGGGTTTGATTGAAAATGTGAAGTTTTATCATCCCAGGGAGCTCACCTGATCCCACTGGAGCATCCTTGAAAGTGACTCCAGGCCAGGCTGGAACTGAGACACCCATTTATTTCAGCCTGAGTGAGAACAGGTTTGTAACTCAGAGCCATTGAACTGCTTTATATTCCAGTTCAAGTAATACCAAGGAAAGTCAGTGCATTTATGAGAAATTCTGCATTTTGTGGTACATCTCAGACTGGACGTTTTAGACCCCATTAATATTTGATTTTTACACTACAATTTGCAAGCTGAAAACTTTCTGCTTAAACATTACCCAGATGAACACTCAAGTGTTAGAAACCTGCCTGGGTTTATGCCAGTGAGTTCAAATTGCTTCTGGGAGTTAATACAAACACGAGATTAAGTCAGCATTAAACATGAAATATCTGCAGCTACATTATTTTACAGAGTTGAGGATGAAGTTATCAGCATTAAACACAGATCCTGGGACAAATTTCCAAATTCCAAATCCTCATATGAGTCTCATTTGAAATCCTTCCCTGACCAGGAGGCTCAATTTCCTGCTTGTGCAGGAAATCCATCCTCTTCTTGAAGCCTTTATTTTTTCACATTTTTCTCTACACACATTTACAGATTTAAGACAAATCTCTTCACCACCAGCGAGGCTTTCCTCAGGTAACTCCTGGGCTCCTTTGGAGACCTGCCATGAGATGCTCCAGCAAGGAGGGCTCTGGAAAGAGCAGGAACAGCAACATTTACCAAGAGGAAACATTGTTCTCCCCTGAGTTCAGCTCGTTCTGCAACACCACCAGTTCCTGCTTGCTCCTTGCCAACCTTCCCCTTCCCAGGTGACAAGTGGTGACACCTGCCCTGCATCATCCCCAGGGCTGTGACACTGAGGAAGGCAGGTCTGGGGACAGAACAAGGCTGAAGGTACAGAACAGGCACACAAAGCCTTGACCTTCTGCCCCATCACACAAAAACAGCTCCTGGAGGAACAATTCCCAACAAATCCCAATTGGATTTTTCCCCCTTTCCCCCACCCAGGGGAACAGAGCTCCCTGTTGCCTCTCCAGCTCCTGTACCACTTGCAAGGTGAAGCATCTTAAAAGAAGAACTTTCTGTTTCAAGGAATTTTTTTAATGTAAAGTTTCAAATAAATAAATTGTTACGGAAAAAAAAAGATCTCCGTGTGCTTCTCCACATCCAGAAAAGCAGCAGAATGCAAAGAACTCCTTCAAGTTAACATTAATAATTCAACAGCTCTGCAGGTTGTCTCCAGCCATCTGCAGCCCAGAGTCAGCTCCTGGTGTGCCAGCCTGCTCTAGATTCCTCGATCAACTCCTCCTGAGGGCTTGGATTCCTTCTCTAAGCCCTGAATGCAGCGCTAATACTCTGAATTTTCTTCAGGGGTTTATTGTGTCCGTTTGCCCAGTGAAGGGTGCTGCTCCTCACGAAGCCTGCTCTGCCCTGCTGCCCTCAGTGCTCACTCTGAGCACTCCCCACGCTCCTGAGAACTGCAGGCACTCACTGCCCAGGCATCCACGTGCATTCCCTGCTCTGGGAACAGCTCCCCAGGGACATCCACAGCCCCCAGAGAGCCAAGGTGACCGTGTTACCCACCGTGTTCCAGGCTAAAAACTCCAGACTGGAGCAGGCTGATTGTGTCTGTCACAGCACAGCAGCCAAACGCTGCCTTCCAACCACTCTGGGATGCTCAGAGCCAAAATGGGGTTTCCTTCCCTGTCAATCACTTCTCAAAAATAATCAAAATTACAGAAAGCAAACATTTTACTCCTGTGATCTTTGCTGTCTTTATACAACCTGCAAAAGAGCCAGCAAGAGGCGTCTTCCAGATGTCATTCCCCATTTCCCTGTGCCGAGGGGTTTCATCCTTGCCTCTGCTCTGCATTCCTGCAGGCTTCTCCTCCTCGCTCCACGGCATTCCCACTCCTGTCTAGCACCGGCTCTAAAAGGTGTCCGTCTTCCCAGGCTGACTGATGCAGCTTCAGATCTTCCTTACAAACTGTTCCTTCAAACCATTCCTAGACAGCCCCCTCAGATCTTCCGGGAGCCAATAACTCGGGATGCACTCGGAGCGTTTGATCGGGAGCCGCCGTCTCGTTTGAGGAATCCCTGAGCCACAGCCAAGTGCTCCACATGCAAATTCCTTCCTGCAACAGGAACCTTCCCCAGCGTGCAGGAGAGCAGGAGGAACGGTCAGCACAAGCTCCATCAGTTCACATGCAGCCTCAGGCTGTGCTGAAGGCACAGAACGCTGGCCCTGCCTCACAGGGCTCATCCCCTCCATCCCTCCGAGGGCTTTCAGCTCCTTCCTGGGGCTGTGCCATGGACAGAGAGGGCACAGACCTCACTGTGCCATGGACAGAGCACAGACCTCACTGTGCCATGGACAGAGAGAGCACAGACCTCACTGTGCCATGGACAGAGGGCACAGACCTCACTGTGCCATGGACAGAGGGCACAGCCCTCGCTGCAGCCCAAGCTCTGCTGCAGGCCCTGCCAGGCCACAGAAGCCCAGCAGAACTCCAGCACAGGGCTCCACTCTCACCCACCCCTGGCTGCTCCCACTGCCCCCTCCTCTGGGCACTGCCCTGCTCTCCCCTCTGCACACCACTGCACTAATTGCACTAATTACCCTCTGCTCCATCCCCAGCCAGCAAGAGCTGGAGGTCACCCTGTCCCAGTTCAGCAAGGACCGGTCAATAAGTGCAAACACAGAAATAAAAACACTGCTGAGGGTGCTGCTGGCAGAGCCAACAGGAAAAGGGGATAAAAGGAATCCTTCAGCCCCTGGGCCTGTCACACATCACACCCCACAGCACAGCCTGGCACTGAAGGATGCCATTAACACAAACCTGGCCTTGAGTAATTCATCAGATAATTCATTAGATGATTCATTAGATAATTCATCAGATAATTCATTAGATAATTCATTAGATAATTCATCAGATAATTCATTAGATAAATCATTAGATAATTCCTTGAAAGAGGCATCTCCAGAGCGTTCTCTAGAGAAGAGCAGAGGAACAAGACAAACATGAGATGTGCCAGTGGGTTTATCAGATCTGGCAGTGCCAGAAGCTGCAGTCCCACAGGGATCATTAACCCCTCAGTCACCTCTGCACAGCCCAGGGGACAAGGCCAGCCCAGCAGCAAGGCACTGCAAACCAGCTCTGAGAGAAAAGCACAGCCCAACCCTCCAGAAAACCCAGCCAGCCCATGGGCCTTGGACACTTCCTTGGGTTTCCTGAGCAGGCAAACTCTGCTCATCTGAATTAAGCACATTTGTATGCAGTCCTGCTTTAATCTGCATTTCCAGAGAAACCTAATTGTGGATTCCTCTTCTCATAAAAACAGGATTTAATTCTCACTCAGCAAGTTATGAGGCAGCAGGAAAAAAAAATGTTGAGGTAAAACTATTACAATCAGCTTTGTTGCTCTCTGCTTATCTTAGAAATCAATATAAATACACCAAATCTTAATTTAAATATTCTGAATTTAATAGCAACTTGTCAGTAAAACCTGGTGTACTTGGGAGTCTTTTTCTTTAAATCAAGTTATATGCTTTGGTTGCAACTGAGGCTGGGAAATTTAATTCAATACACAAAGCATAATTCCAACCCTCTTGTGTTAAAAATATTCTTTAAATAAATAATAGATCAAAGCAGTGTCACTTTGATGGCATATGCAGTCCATGGAAGGATTAAATGTTTTCAGAGCAGCCCTCATGGAGGAAGGGGCGGGGGACACCAGTGAATTCTCACTTATTTTCTCCACATTTACCACTCATTATTCTGATTTGATTCTCCCCTTATCAGAGCTCTGCCTTCTAAAGAACCTTCAACTTCACATAAACTCTGGGGTTTTTAGAGCAACAAAGCAAGATGAAAAGAAGAGTCACTGCACTCCCAAATCTGTGAATCACTTCCTCTAACTGTAGTGGAGCTGGGATCACTCCCCATGACTCCTCGATGAATAAGGCAGAATCTGCCACTGCCTGGGGCTTCCATGATTCACAGGGGAAAATGCCACGGCTTCACCTGCACTGGGACTGCCAGAGCCTTGCTTGGCTTGACCTTTGAGCACTTCTTCATTTAGAGACAGGCTGGGGTGTTTAATGGCAGGGAATGGTCCCCAGCCCGGGCTGTGACGAGTTCATTTATCACACTGAAGGTACTGGGATGTTTTCCACATGCAGCCCCTGGAGAAGAGCTCAGCTCCAGCAGCCCTGGCTTGTGGGAAAGGGAGCCAAGAGACAAAAGGAGCTGCAGAGAACTGGGGATGGGGACAGAGCCTCCCACTGGGAGTGCAGGAGGGAAGGAAGGGGCTGAGCCGTGGGCTGGGCTGGAGGAGCAGAGGAACACCAGGGGCTGTGGGCACTGACAGGGCTGCAGCCACGGCAGGACAGTGCTGGAAGGCAAGGAAAGAGGAGGAGAAGAAACTTCCTGCAGACAGCTAAAACAAGAAATAATTAATTTATAATGCCAGAGAGCAAAACCAAGCAGCTCAGGAGCAAAAAGGGAAAAGACCAACAGCCCATCAGCTTTCACCCTGGTGGCACAGGCTGTGCCCTCACACCACCACTGCCTCACGGGAAAAGCCAACAGAGCCCAAGTTCCCGGGGTTTTCTCCAGGTGTTCCATTCCCTGGACAAACCTGTCACAGCCCAGCTGCCACCTCCAGCCAGGCCATGGGAAAGGAGCAGCCTGAGCGAGCTGCCCTCCACCTGCTGCTCACGGACACCAGGGAAAAGCAGATTAGATCTTCTGAACTGTTTTGCAGGATTAGCCAAACTGGAGCTCACTGGGTGGAAATATTTACCAGGCATCACCCCTGCAGCATTCCAAACTCCATCCTCATCCTCTCCCCAGCTGAGGTTCAGCATTTGTTACTTCATTAAGCACTCAGGAGATTGCTCAACCTCATCACGTTTAAATCTCAGCAGCCTTTTTTCATGTCTTGTGTTTTATTCCTCTTTTTAGCTTTCTTGAATCAGCTGCTCTTCTTCTCTCAGGTGTCTTTACGTGCTTTTGGTATCTTCCTATGCACCAGGTCTTAAACAAAAAGTAATTCTGCACAACAGCAAGTTTGTCCAAATGATCCCTGATGCAGCTGCCCTGGTACAAACGACACCTGAGCTGCACCACTGGCCCTGGTGTGAAGTCATTTGGCTCCAGCTGACAGAGAAAGCAGAAGGACTAAACCAAAAATTCGAGATTTGCTTCTATTTTCTTCCTTCACAAGAGTCAGATTCTGTATCTTGGGGAGTGACCCAGGGCCCAGCCCCACTGAGCTCGAGCCCAGAGAGCAGCAGCAGCAACACCCAGGATGTTTATGGCACTGGAGAGTCCCGGAGGAGGAAACTGCAGCTCCACGGGAGTCAGGCTGGGATGTGATCGTAACAAGCACGTGAAACATTTCACACCAACCACGGAGGAGCCCTGATCACCCCCCTGGTCCTGTGCTGCTGCTGCACAAACCATCGATCAGCCCAACCAAGGCAAAGTCACTCCCAAATTAGAACAGGCAACTCTGCAGATCAGGAAATGAGGGAGCAGGAAGCGTCCCAGGAAGGCAGAGACACCTAAAATAGAGCAGCAAGCTCATCACACCTCCACAGGCTGCTGGAGAAAGTCTCCTCTGTGCCAGAGCCCTTTGGAACAGAGCACCCACCGTGGTGTCTGTGCTGCCTTTAAATCACACCCAAAACGCTCAGTTCACCCAGCACTGATCTGCCAAGTCCCATTCGCAGCCCATGATTCTCCTCATGGCTCAGAACTTCTGAGAAATGTAATCACCAGTCTGGGAACAGAGACAGGGACAGCCTGGGCATATGGCCTCTGCAAAGAAATCCCAGCCTGCAGTTTCGGTGAGTTATTCCATCCCATTGCAAGGGGGTCACAAACAAAACGGAAATCTGGTGACCAGGACAAGCCACAAGCGTCTACAAACACAAAGCTGAGGGTACAAGAGCTGGGAGAGCCAGGGAAGGCTGGAACCCACAGCAGAGTTGTTCCAGGAACAGAACAAGTGGAGATGATGGTCCAGGACGTTTCCCAGGTGCTTTGTTTGCACTTTGCTGAGACACTGAGGGTGGCACACAGTCCCAGCTGGGACATTTGTCACTGCCCTGATTTGTCACTGTCACTGATTTGTCAGTTTAACACACAACACGTCACCAACCACAGCAATCTCAAAACAGCTTCCTGCCTCCAAAACCTCACAATCTGTTTCTCCACGTGCAAGGACAGCCTCGCTCTGCACCTCACCCCACGCTGGGGGCACGCTCCAAACCCACACAGCTCCTGTGCAGCTGCAGCTGCAGACAGCTGCAATTCCTGCACCTGCTCCTCCCCACCTCGGTCACTTAACTGCCCTGCCCCGAACACAGCGGGAACCCAGGCTCCATTTAAAGAGCCCAAAGGATGGAGCTGCTCCAAGAACCCAGCTCGTGAGCACGGAGTCAGTGCTTCCAACCCATCCACAGCTCTGCTTCCCTAATTCCACACGGCTGCCACACAAACCGTGGGATGCACACCCAGCGCTTCACCTGGCAGCAGCTCAGCACCCTCGGAGCTCAGACTCCTTTTCCACCTGTCCCCCGACTGCTCCTCCTCCAAACCCCATCCTGCCCTGGAGCATTACCCGGTCCTTCATCCTCCAGCTCTGAGCCAAAGACTTGGAGCCTTCGATCTTCTCGCAGTGCCTTTTCTTCATAAAGGCCAGGGGCAAGTTCCAGTCCGTCAGGTCGGACTCATCCTCCTCCCCAAGCCCCAGGAGAGGCGACTGCAGCATCTCAGCCTCCATGTGCGGGGAAGCGCGGGGCAGCAGCTGGGCAGCGATGTCCAGCCCGGCCCCCAGCGGGCCCGGGGTCCCTCCGGCCGGAGGGGGAGGACGGGCCAAGGGCAGCGCGGGGCGGCGCTCCCCGGTGCGCGGGTAAGGACGGACCCGGGGCACGCAGCGCCTTCACCTGGCGCAGGCAGTGGCCCCGGCTGGGCTCGGTGGCGCG